AAAAAAAAAAAAAGAAAGAATTTTTGAAAACTTAAACCTGAAAAGGCATAAAGTTAGTGACTGCTCATTTCTTGAGGGCTCACCTGGTACATCGAATATGTGCGTATACAAAGACTGGCCCCCGTCCACGTCCACCAACTGTCCAGTAATAAAGGAAGCTGCAGGGGACAGCAGGAAGCAGACCAGCGGGGAGATCTGGAAACAGAAGCACACACATGCACACAGAAAAGCAGATGCTCCCCATTTGGGGCTGCTTCCCTGCCCAAGAAAACACATCTCGAAACATACAACTGTAATATGCATTCTACAGTCTGTGTGCACCATCACCTAACAAAACACAGACAACTAACTGCCTTTTTCTATTTGAGCACCATTAAAAAAAATGTGACTAGTGTGGCAAGATGTGAAGGAGCCCACACTGTGTCAAATAAGCTACACACGGTGAATAAGCTGAAAGCGAACACAGTGCTTGATTTTTCCCACAAACTACCCCAGTTCCTTCCACACCCTTCAGTGCCTACCATAACTCACTTTTCCACGCCATCATGTGCCTTTTATGCTTTTGTCCCTGATGTGGTCAATGTGTCTGTGGAACAATAAGCTGGCATTCAGCCAGTGGTCCTGCAGGCTGCAAAGGCCAGGAACTGAGACTACAGGAGCTTTCTACGAGAGGGACTGCAGAATCCCACCACACCCCCTAAAAATTCAGAGGTAATTGATGACTGCAGCAACATCTACTCCCAAAACCAAAGAGAGAGAGAAATGATTTCACTGGATATCAAGGAACTCTCTGTGAGGCTCTTGGCACAGCCAGAGTTTCTCAAAGGGAGATCCCAAACACTGGCATTAGAATCCTTGGGTCCGTTTATGGAAACTCCAGATCCCTAGGTCCTCCTTGAGACCTTCTGAATTTAAAGCTCTGGGGTTGGGTCCCCAGAATCTGCTACTTGAGGAGAATCCCCAGCTGGAGGGAGACTAGGGGGAGGCTAATGAGGTGCTTAGGGGGCAGTATTTAAGGATGCGCTCACTCTCGGGGCAGAGCCCGCACTCGTACGACCCTGAGAGTGAGGGCATCCTTAAGTTTTACGTCCATGCCTAGCTTGCCTCGCCCCATTTAGAGTGTTCGCTTACATGTCTCTGCCTCATTGAGGCTGTGAGACCCTGGATGCTAGGCATAGGCTTCTGTCTCTCCTGGTGTCCCTAGAAGCTAGTGTAGACCTGCACTAAAACAGAGGCACTAGCCATACGATACAACCCACCTTCTGCACGCCTAGTCAGAACTGAGATGTGCTGTAAGTGTAAAATACACACTAGATTTTGAAGACTTGGTATGGAAAGAAGAAGGCAAAACCTATAGAAGAATGTAAAATGATGTTTTAGATATATTGGGTTGCATAAAACCTTATTAATAATAATATATATAATTATTTCTATTATCTATTGTATATTAAATTACTACAGCAATATTAATTTCATCTTTTTACTTTTCTTAATGTGGCTACTGGTTAGCTTACAATTACATATGTAATGATTATGATATTTCTATTGGATAGCACTAGTACAGAGAATTAATCGTTGAAAAGTTCCTCCATCCCTGAGGAAGCGCAGACAGTTCTGAGCAATGACTGAAAGTAACCACCAGAACTGGTATTAGCCTGTGTAATCAATCAATGACAACTCACCACGTGCACCAGGAAGACTCACCCCAATAAGCTCCTTTCTGAATGCCAGCCGAACAAGAACCCTCTCATCCCAGTAACCGTGACCTCCAAAAGTCTGCAAACCCCTAAAACCACACTTGTTCCAGAACAAGAGAAAGAGCCATAGTCTGCTCTGTTCAGGGAGACTGTGCCTGACTAATATTAATGTGACTTTGTGCTGAATTTTGTTTGAAATATTGACTGATGGCCTCCCGTGTTTAGGATAAAATAAGCGCCCAATAATTGTTTACAGAATGAAGGATCTTTATGCATCTCTTCCCCTAAAATGAAGGGATGTTGCATGGCCTAGCTCCTGCTACAGCGTTTTGCCCACAAACTAGGGCACTATGAAATGATACTGAATTGAACTGAAACTATCTGCTAGATAAAAGATAGATAAATATTCATGATACCTGGTTTACTTCGGGAGCTCAACATGGAGCTAAACTGAACTAATACAATTTTTATAATTACCAAATTAACTAGGCACTATTGTACTATCTCAGATAGAGTCTTCTTAACTTTCATTTTAATGAAATCCATTTGATGGATGGACTTGAAGAACCAAGCCACTCACAAGAGTTTTATCAATCAGTAAACACGATTCAAGACTAGCAACTTGTATCCATTTTCTATGTGGGTAACACCTCTTTTATCTGTTTACTTTCAGTTCTGTTTATTAAAGATCACAGGGATTTTAAATAAGCAAGCTGGGGTTTGAATTGCAGTACCATGAGCCATGTATAGCCTTAGACAAGTTACTGCGCCTCTTTGGCCCTTAGTTTCTTAACTTTGTAAAGTGAGTAGGGTCTGCCAAGTGCTGCATTCCTTTCCGAGAGATGTTGAGGGACATCGTGCAGGCTCTGGCTATTCCTTTTAAAACTACAGCTACGGGGCTCCTGGGTGGCTCAGTCGGTTGATCCCTGGAGTCCTGGGATCGAGCCCCGCATGGGGCTCCCTGCTCAGTGAGTGGGGAGTCTGTTTCCCCCTTCCTTCTGCCACTCCCCCCTGCTCATGCGCACTCTCTTCTTTCTCTCTCCAATAAATAAATAAAATCTTAAAACAATAAAAACTACAGTTACGTTCTGACCCTCCTGTCTCTACCCCAGGGACTGTCACTTATTGTCACTTATTGTCAGCTCAGTGATAAGCAGTTCAGCCAACGGCCTGGTGTGAATGTGCTCCCACTAATGATGATTAGCCAGGGTAATCAGAATATCTTGGAAACATGACCAAGGGATGCTAGGACAATCAGGCAGAGGCATCCCCTTGCTCTGCATCTCACAAAAGCTCCCAGCCTCTCTCCTTCCCTTCACAAGCAAACTATTGGAAGGCTGCACCTCCAACGGTCAAAGCATGGTCAGTAAAACTCTTGAGCACACCTAAGACCTTTCCAGGTGATTTGCAAGAACAAAACTATGTTCATTATAATACTACCCCTTTGTTTGTCTTTCTCACTGTGCTGACATTTGCAGTAACGGTGCCAGAGCAATGGTGGGCAAAATTGCTGGAGCCTCAGCGCAAATCACAGCAGGAACATGAAACGGAACTAGCGGTCCTTACGCTAGTGGTCACTATCTTCTTCACCAGCAAGTACACATGGGGGGAAAGCCTGTTTCACTTTAGAATGTCCTCGATGAAGCAGCAAAAATTACTCATCATACTGATCTTGACCACTGGGTACAATATCCTTTTTAATATCTAGTGATATGAAGTGGGAACTGCACATCAAGCTTTTCTGCTTCATACAGAAGTAACCGTTGTGAACTGAACTAGTCACTCTCTTTGTGAAATACCATTTGTTACTTGAAAGAACGACTAACACACTATGGTTACTCACACCGGGGTACCTGGCAGAGTTGTTTTCACAAATGAACAAAGTGAGAATGTCACTTCAGAGGAAAACAACTTTGGTTTTTGTATTTGTTGTCAATGAAAAGATCTGAGCTTGCAAGTGAAAAGCAGAATTTTGGAAAACTTGCGCTTGTCAACATGAGCTTGACAGTTTCCTACCATTTCAAGATTTTTCTGAAGAGATCAGTGGTGACATTAAAAATGTGACCATTTACTTATTTTTATATTCTTTTATTTAAATTCAATTAATTAACATACAGTGTATTATTAGTTTCAGAGGTAGAAATCAGTGATTCATCAGTCTCAATATAACACCCAATGCCCATTACATCACGTGCCCTCCTTAATACCCATCACCTGGTTACCCCATTCCCCCACTCCTTCAGCAACCCTCTGTTTGTTTCAAATGGTTAAGAGTCTCTTATGGTTTGTCTCCCTCTCTGATTTTGTCTTGTTTTGTTTTTCGCTCCCTTCCCCTATGATCCTCCGTTTTGTTTCTTAAATTCCACATATGAGTGAGATCATGTATTTATCTTTCTCTGACTAACTTATTTCACTCAACATAATACCCTCTAATTCCATCCACGTTGTTGCAAATGGCAAGATTTCATTCTTTCTGATGGCTAAGTAAAATTCCATTGCGTGTGTGTACATACACACACACACACACACACACACCCCACATACCCCACATTTCTTTATCCATTCATCTGTCGATGGACATCTGGGCTCTTTCCATAGTTTGGCTATCGTGGACATTGCTGCTATAAACATTAGGGTGCATGTGCCCCTTCGGATCACTATGTTTGCATCCTTTGGATAAATACCTACTAGTGCAATTGCTGGATCATAGGGTAGTTCTATTTTTAACTTTTTGAGGAACCTCCATACTCTTTTCCAGAGTGGCTGCACCAGCTTATATTCCCACCAACAGTGTAGGAGGGTTCCCTTCTCTCCACATCCTCGCCAACATCTGTTGTTTCCTGAGTTGTTAATTTTAGCCATTCTGACGGATGTGAGGTGGTTATCTCATGATTTTGATTTGTATTTCCCTGATGATGAGTGATGTTGAGCATTTTTTCACACATCTGTTAGCCATTTCTATGTCTTCTTTGGAGAAATGTCTGTTCATGTCTTCTGCCCATTTCTTGACTGGATTTTTTGTTTTTTGGGTGTTAAGTTCTTTATAGATTTTGGATACTAGCTCTTTATCTGATAAGACATTTGCAAATATCTTCACCCATTCTGTAGGATGTCTTTTAGTTTTGTCAATTGTTTCCTTTGCTATGCAAAAGCTTTTTATCTTAATGCAGTCCCAATAGTTCATTTTGCTTTTTTTCTCTTGCCTTTGAAGATGTGTCCAGCAAGAAGTTGCTGTGGCCGAGGTTGAAGAGGTTGCTGCCTGTGTTCTCCTCAAGGATTTTGATGGATTCCTGTCTCATATTTAGGTCTTTCATCCATTTTGAGTTTGTCTTTGTATATGGTGTAAGGAAATGGTCCAGTTTCATTCTTCTGCATCTGACTGCTCAATTTTCCCAGCACCATTTGTTGAAGAGACTGTCTTTTTTCCATTTGATATTCTTTCTTGTTTTGTCAAAGATTAGTTGACCATAGAGTTGAGGGTCCATTTCTGGGTTCTCT